GCATGGATTTTTCAGCCTGGTTTAGACAAAATTATTGGTCCTGTGTAATATGAATGTATAGAATTTTCTGCTTAAATTTTTTGCTAAGGAAACAAACAATAAATTCAGTTCATGGCATTTAAAAACTGCTATGTGGGCTTTTCATTGGGTGATGATGGGATACCTACTGGTTTTTTTCAGCTTCCCTTCTTAGGAAAAGAAATTTCTGAACTCATAGTGCTACCAACTGAAAAAATGGCATAAAAGACATTGGGCATTAAAATGACTTCTGGCCCATTTTTCTCTCCTTCCTAGTAAAAGCTTTCCCATTTGAAAGATTACCTTTTATTTCAAAGGGTATTTTTAATTGGGTTTCTATTACTCACAGGGATTCAGTCAATGAAATAATGTAGGTGTTCATTTGCCTCTGTATTTATCTGCATATATATTTATCTAGAACAGTGGTTCTCAACCTTCCTAATGCCACGACCCTTTAATACAGTTCCTCATGTTGTGGTGATCCCCAACCATAAAATTATTTTCATTGCTACTTCATAACTGTAATTTTGCTACTGTTTTCCAATGGTCTTAGGCGACCCCTGTGAAAGGGTTGTTCGACCCCCAAAGGGGTCACAACCCACAGGTTGAGAACCGCTGAGGTAGAACAACACTGCAAGCCTTCTTCCCATGTCCATCACAAAAGGCTAGATTATTAATTTCTATTACTCAATCATATATTGTAATGTGTGGAAAAAATGCTGAACAATCCCACAGCAACAATGCATGAGACAGCCTCTAGACTACAGAGACCACTCTTCAATCTCTCAACCTGCTGCTATGGCAACAGAGGGGGAATTCCATTATCTTTAACAGGTATACAGAAGGACTGCACTAGCATTTCATAACAAAGTAACATGTAATCCATACTTTTCAGCCTATACAATGTGAGTATACCACACCGATTACTATATAATTAGCTATTCCTTTACCAAGAATCATATACTCACCAAAGGGGTTTGGCTGTTTGGTGCTTGCTTATTCCTCATGGCATAG